ATACTACATTTATCCATTTTAAATACACTAACTTCACTCCTTTGTAACAACTAAGGCAAAAATGTAATTAATTCTGAAAATCTTTTCAGGACCCCACCTTGATGTTTCGGGACCCCACTTTGGGTCCCGACCCCAACTTTGGGAAACGCTGTTTTAGGGGATAAAATAATGTTTGCACATATTCAAGTTACATTTAGATGTCATTTAAGGGTAATAAGATATTCATTGTACAAGGGACACGGTAAAGTAAAAATCTAGCTTGCCAAAAAATATTTTTTGTCGATATCTTTGGAGTGGCACTTTTCACGGTGTTCATATTTTCCACTATCAAAGAGGAAACTAATACACATGTGCACAGCAAAAATCACAACTAAGMCAAATAGAAGATACTGATGGTGTCTCAACTAYACACACGTCTCAAAWGTACTCAGTCTACCCTATAAATAAATGCAATGGGAGCGTGAGAGGAACCCATCCAAGATGGCGGCCGCACTGGCAGCAGTCCGTAGGGTCTCTTCACGTATGTCTGTGGAAGTTCCAGCGTATACAGGAAGTAGGACAACAGGAAGAAGGGGTGAGTGGACAGAACRTCCGGATGCTGCCTGTAGATGGTGATGTTTTACAGCTCATCAACCTGAAAACAAACTTGCCAGGTTTCATGCAGGAGATTTGAGCAGTAATCCCAGAGATCAGGGGTCGGATTGATAAAGCTTGCATACACACAAAACCAGCCCAGACATATTATTAGAAATACAGCAAACATTAGTTAGAATACAGAAGATGGGTTTAGAAATAACATTCAAATGGGTACCAGCACAMGTTGGAGTGGAGGGAAATGAAGGGCAGCAAAAAGGACAACAACACAACAAACCAACTTCACAATCAATATAAGTAAATCTGAGGCAAAAAGTTTGGTTAAATTAAAAATCAAGGAAAAGTGGCAGAAAGAATGGCATGAAGAAAACAAAGGAAGATGGTTTTATAAGATCCAAAGAAAAGTGGGAGAAATGAGAGTAACGAGGAGAAACAGAAAAGAAGAGAGATTATTAACTAGATTGAGAATGGGACACACCGGACTTAACAGCACACTCTTTATGATAAACAATCATGAGAGTGGAAACTGTCAACATGGTGAAATGATAGAAACAATAGAACATGTAATATTAATATGTAAAAGATATGAGAGACAAAGAAGAGACATGATGGAGAAATTTAGAACAATTATAGAAAAATTCAATATATCAAATTTATTACAGAAAGATTCAGGAAGTAAACGTATAAACATTTTAATTAGATTCTTCACAGAACATGACTATACTGTAAGTAGAGC